CCTCACCTTTTGGGAAAAGTTGGTAATCCGCCCTCTATGATTCCCCAATCCCCTCACGCCAACACAGGAGCACGTCAACACAGGAGTTGAGGGTACACCCATGCATATGTGTAGCTCTTGGCTCCGGTTCCATACTGTCTAATCTCCTAGGTCTTTCAGCTGAAGTCCGAAGAATCGATGGTCCCGCCAATTACTTCTGGAGCCCCTTTGTTCGTATCACTCATCGGCCTCGCTTAGGTTCCTCTCGATTATCCCCGGATTGGAGGATCACCTTTGACCTGCCCGACATGCTGTTGACTTGGAGATGAATTCTCCGGCCGTACCTTCTGCGGTCCTTACGCTTGGGCGGTCATGTTGGGACCAAAGAAAAGTAGAAGCCTCAACCGTGTCGAAGGCATTATAACTAAAGTACGCGACCTCAAAAATCAACATCTACATCCCGTCGCTACCCTTTCAGCCCTTTCAATGTTCATCTTCCCGCGTGAGGGTGATCAGCGTTCTCGTTCACGAAGGCAACCGAGTTGCTCATGGGAAGGAGCATGTGAGGGAGAAGGACCATTATTCGTCTCTTCGAACGGAGCCCAGGTTGAATTCGCCCCCGGGTTTCCTTTTGTATACTATGTATAACCTCCTAATCAACAGACCTTTCCCGAATGAATAACCATTCATTTCATGAAAAACCTGCGCTTGTTAGCAGCTAAATCACTCTCTCCTCTCGTAGTGGGCCTCTTTTCTTTCCCCCGCTGGCATGATAAAAGGGTCCATTCCACTATCTCTTCTTCTTGTGAGAATAAATAGAGGGGTGTGCTTTCCCTTTGAATGAGTAGATCTTCCAGCCCCCGTGCCTCCCTTTACTCAATGCTCCTGAAGTCCGAAAAGGAGACTGAGTGAACAGGGGGCAGGGAAGTTAAGTTACAGAAATGGTAGTCGTGGACTGGTACCGTAGTACTGCCTACTTTTGTCCTTATTGTGATCCCTCACTCTGGGCTAAGAGAGTCTCTTAAGTGCTAGCGTGGCGGGAGAGCAAATAGCAATGAACCAACTCTACATAGTTCCCCCTACCAAGAACTACTAGAGCTCTCTATGCGAGGAAAAGGGTAAAGATAGGCGGATTGACGCATCTGAGCAGGCAGGGAATACTTAGTGCTTGGAATATGAATGCTATGAGGCTTGGGCGAGAGAGCAGGTCTAGGAGGCCCAGATATTGCATCATGTTAAAGCAGAAAAAAGCCATAAGAGCTGTAAACAAGTGAGATAGGCACGAAAGGGGGGCATTCTGGGGATGTCTTTCATCAGCCAGCACCTTCAACAGCCAGTAGGACAGATGCCGACACAGATTCGATTCCAGATTCAAGATAGGGTACGCCCGAGGACCAGGCATGGCGGGATAAAGCAACAAGCAGCAAGGGATTGGCTGAATAGAACAGATGCGACCGGGAATGGGATATTGAATGGAAAGACCGAAAGCGACGTACGTACTGGATTGACCAGCGTGTGCCAACTACTCTACTTCCCTATTTCTTCCTTTTTAACCCCCCCTTATTGGTGCACTCTTTCCCCCAATTCACCGATAGAGAAGAAAGAGATAAGCAATGACCGGACTAGACCAATCAAAGCGGACCAAGGTTTTTGTTAGCCAACCGCGCCTATTACAGCGCCTCTATTACAGAAGCGAAAGCGATGTGCCCTATTGACCAGCCGAAGAGCATCCAACTAAAAGAATGAATGGGAAGCAGGCCCGGTCTATATTGCTCTAGATATCTTTACTTCACCTCTCCTCTACCTATTCAACTAATTGAATTCCGGATATAAGCTTACCCTTTAGTGCCTGCTGATCCGTCTTTTCTATTAACTAAAACTACTATACGCCGTGAGGCTTTTTCGGGAAGAAGAAGGCCTCGCAGACTCGACCAGAGCCAACCATCTGAAAGTAGTAGCATCTCAACTCAAGGAATAGCTAAGCAAGAGAGAGCATCTTCAGACCACATCTCAGTAGTGACGAGCCACAGAGCTAGACAAGAGAAGCGCTGTCTCATTAGCATATCAGCCAACGTAGCCGGCGCTTCTTCGAGTTCGTGCCAAAGTCTATCTTTCGTGCTTAGCGCTTTTCATTTGTCAAGACCCTTTTTATCACTAGCCTAGCATCTATTAGCATGATCGTAGCGGCCTCCGTTCCAAGACCCGTCTCTTTTGAAATGCCACAAGAGGTCAATTGCTACAAGAAGAAAGAGCGTACAAGTCAAAAGCTCAATCTATCTTTCCTATCAAAGTCGTAATTCGTAGGCTTTCCCTCATCAATAGGGAGCTAGAAGAAGCGAGCAGAATCCATTGAAAGTCCCGTCTGTCTCCTAGATGGAGTCGCTAAAAAAGAAGCAAAGTGCATTAGTCACAGAGTGAAGCATAAGAACGAATGGAGTGAGCAAGCACGGAGCGAGCCATAGAACGAGCTAAGCCAACTCAAGAGAGAGCAAATCAGTGCACAGCTGTGAGTGAAGTCACATTGGTAGTAGCATCTCAGTAGTAGGAAACAGCCGGCATGACAAGACAAGGCGTGGGTAGTAAAGGCAGTTCAGTAGACAGAGTAGGGTAGCGGATCTCAAGCTAGAGCGAATCAAGTACGGAGGTTTCGGGTTATGAGATCTCTTAAGGTTCAAGCGTCAGTCATAAAATAATCAGCTTATATAGAGTCTATATTATATAGCATGCCATACCCCCCTCCGGTTTGTTTCTAAAGATCGATGTCCCGATCGTTTAATGCAGCCTGCTGCTCCGCGGAGAATTCATCTCGCGGATGGGGGATCGACGCTCGCTGTACGATGCTATTGAGTTCCTCCTTAGGCAGTCGTTGTATGATGCTATCTAGTTCCCCCCATCCGGAAATACATCTACAGGCGCTTGCTGGCCCCCTACTACTGGTGGGGGGGCCGGCCGGTCATCCAACATCGGTGGCGCTAGAGTCAAATCGAAATTAAAATCACTCCTATATGGAATGGGCTGACCAAGCATCAGAGGAATCAACAACTCTTGGGCCTCAAACTAAAGAGACAAAGGAAAAGGAATGGCTTAGCTCTAGCACTTGCACTTGACTCCTTTCGTTCGAAGGTTCACTCCTACCTTCAATCGTACAAGACTAGCAACAGTCCTTACTTTCTGACTTGAATCACTAACTACAGCTACTCCGTTCAGTTCCTTCCTCCCTTCACTCATGCTAAACAGAAGAAGTAAAATTATAGGCTTTTTTTTACATCTCGATTTGACAATACTGTGAATAGATAGTTTGAGCTTGAATAATGATGGATTGAGGCTACCCCTTAATGACTTGCCTTAGAGCATAGGATTGAGCACCTTCGGACAAGTCCTAAAGAAGAAGATAACAAGCGAATAACGAGGAAAGCAGCTACTATCCTTTCGTTCGGAGATTCACTTCAAACCTGTATTAACGATCATGAAAACAGTGATTCTATTAACTGAAACGGTTTGCTTTACAGTTCGTATATCTATCTCGTACAGTTCAAGTCCTCCATCTTAATCCATTCTATTTCGTACCTATAAAATTCGTATATCGAGTTCTAATTATACTATAAAGTTTCAGAAGGAAGATGCTTATTCGTACATTATCTAGTTCGTACTCCACCGTTAAACCATTATTTGCAGTAATACAAGCAAACAAAGAAAGTCGCTTCTTTTATTATTTTTCAATTACTTAAGCTGACATTATCAGGGTCATCATAGCATTAATGTGCTGTTTTCATTGTCATCACCTTATTTTGAAACTGTATTGAGGATAACATACTCCTTGCTTCCGACTTGATTCATAATTTCCACCAGGTAAAGAAAAACTAGTTTTTGTTGTCAGTGAAGTTACGAGTTCGATCTAGTTTCGATGAGTGAAGTCAAGGCTCTTCAAGACCTTGGTGCTGCCAGGCTTTCTCGTCCTAACTGCCTCCTAGCTAAGCGGAAGACTCAACCGATTATTCACCATCTAAAGATGGTGAAGTCGATGCACTGTCCCTATCCTTTCCAGAAGCCTTACAAAAGCCAGTTGGTGAGAGATCACCGAGTCAGGAACAGCCAAGGGATTCATTCAAGTAAAGTAATCTTCCCTTCCCATAACTATCTGGGTTATATCCACTCGGACCCGGGGATGGGAAAACAAAGGAGGATACCCCTTACTCAAGGTATGGAGACGCGGAGCCAGTGGTCTTATCTTCAATCCGTACTAGACCTTCCTTGTCCCAGTCTCTCACTTCCACTTCTCACGAAACCTCTGGTCTTCACTTTAGAGAGTCAGTGTCCCACCTGCTTTCGTGTGTTGACTGAGTAGCTCGACAGTTATCTAGAGGCACTTGGCCCTAACTATAGGCTTTCACCCCTAGTAAGCCTTTCCAAAAGGAATCCTAAAACAGTCTCTTTTTCGGGAGAACCTCTAACTTCAGAGTCCGACCGGGCACCTCCAACTACAGATCCAACAGTCTCTTCAGTATCCATCCGGGTCGGGTCGGCTTGAGAACCTACCCAAGATCCGATCCGGCACATCGTCCTTTCTTGTGCACGACAAGGAGGAAGGGTCTGTTCTCAAAGACGGATTGCTCGCGGCTAGTCTCGTTGTTCTCAAAGGCTTCTGATTCAACTTGGTGTTACGCATCTACGAATTTGCTAGATTCAGTCCCGTCTTTGTCCTCAACACCCAGTGCAGAGTACTTGCTGTTAAGACCAGCTATTTCGAAAACTATTGTGTATGCAGTTTAAGGATCGAAAAAAGCCAGTTCGTGCTTAAGCTGGACAAGACTACCCAGAAGCTCAATAACCGAAATCAAGATATAAGCTAAAAAGACCAGGTGCAGGCGGCGGACAGGGCATAGGTAGCGCACATAAAGAAGATGAAAGCAGGGCGAGCTATATGTAACAATTCCGTGAGCAGAAATTGAACTGAACGTTCCAAGTGCATCCAGCAGGAATCGAACCTACGAATTTGCCTCTTTATTAGGTTGGTATAGGTTGGGCGCTTTAACCATTCAGCCATAGATGCAAAAAGAATCAGCGAGTGAACTAGGTTTTGGTATTCCTTCTCGAGCTTCTATTTCTTCCGTCAAAGAAGATTCGGGAAAAGATAGAATAGGAAGACGTGTTTCCAGAACGAACAAGATAGGGGTTGAGAAGGGGGAGTTAGCAAAGTTAGACAAGATCGGAATGGGCATAGGAACATGTATGGATGTACCAGATCGGCTAATGCTCGCAGGTTGGTGCGATGTATTCCACCAGTTGACTGAAGACTTGATTATTGGTATATCCATCGGTCCAGCACGGATTGAAATAGAAGCCGGTTCGACAGGAAGCTTTTGAAAACACAATGCACCCAGGTAAATAAGGAACGAGATGAATACAGAGGTTAAACGAGCGTCCCACACCCAAAAGGTGCCCCACATAGGTCTTCCCCGAAACCCCCCAGTAACTAAGGTAAACAACGTAAAAAAAGCACCCATTTCTATACCGGTTCCGGAAGAGCGAAGAAAAAGGGGATGTTTTGTTAATAGGAACAAGAAAGTGTTTATAGCCGTAGCGATATAAAGAAGAATACTCATCCGAGCCGCAGGAACATGTACATATGGAATACGAGAATTTCCACCTTGTTGAAGATCTAGTGGTGCTACCCGAAGACTTAAATGAATAGCCATCGCTGTTAAGAACAACCGAGATCCAATGAGAATTTGCGCGTAGCTTCTGGTCTTTGACATCAAAAAAGAAGGTTGTAATAACGAAAGGGACATGTGAGAATTTCGTCCTAGCTAGTAGAACAAGAAAGACATAGATCTATATTCAATATGCAATCAAAGGATTTCCCCCAACGAAGAATTCCTCTTGCTTTGTTTTCGCTCCGCTCGTGCGTGGCGCTCCTTGCTCGCGGAGCGGCATACCGGAAAAAAAAAGAAAGAAGCTCCTATAGGAAGAGGTTAGCCCTTGTAACTTCCCGTATTATCCTCTTATAAGGAATAGTCGAGCGCGTACCAGTTTCTTCCAGACTAGTCACGTAGTACTGGTACGTGTGTAGAGAAAGGGTCTCCCCTTGAGGATAAAAGATAATCCCTCGGATTTCATTTCGTTTGGAAATTATGTTTAGGGGGGAGACGCCATCCTCAACTAAAGCGGCTTCCACTCTCTTTTCTATCAAGAGTTGGGCATTGATCATGCGATCTATTGATTCGACGGGTAGGTTTTTACCGATCGAAGGAACGAGCGAGCGCCTATAAAGTTCTTTTCTTCGCTCTAAATCGGATAAGTGAAGACCCACCTCAAAGGGGGCGGGCCCTGGGCCTTCTTTCTTTGAGTCACTCGCTCCGGGGAGATCTTCTTTTCTTTGGTAGGGATGGGACTAAAGAGCTCTAACAGAAGAGCGGCAACAGCTTATCCGAAAAAACCTGTTCTCTTATCGAAAAACGTCTCGCTTTGAACATTCTCCTTTATCGGGATCCTAGCCCAACCAAGGGTTCTAGAGAAAATTCATTCTTCCTGGTCAAAGCTAGCTAAGGGAATAGCACCATCTTCTCTCTTTCATGACTTTCTTGTTGATTGAGACCCTCTCTTGACTGTTGACTTCCCTCCCTTTAGAGCTGTGAAAGAAAAATCTCCAGTCGCATTCGATCTAGAGTAAAGTAGCCCTTCTTCCTTGTTCACAGAAACCATTTTCTAAAGAGCAAGAGCAGCTTTCATCCCCGAGGGTCACTGTTTACTACGCTATTCTTCCCATTTCGAAAGGGGAGTCCCCAGACGCACCACTCTGAGTAGCCCTTCCCGCCAAGCCAAGGAAAGAAGGCAAGGTGTCCTTAGAAAGGCTAAGACTAGTGTCAAGAAAAAAAGCTTAGTCGTTGTCAACTCCGAGGGTGACTTCACTAACGGGATTTCTATTTAATTAAGAGCCTGGTCCGGGCATTGACTCATTGAGAGCAGACGAAGACTAAGAAGACTTTCGGATAGCACGTGAGATCAACTACTTCGAATACGCTACCATCTGTCTTCGATTATGCTCGTTCTACTTTGAGGGAGAGATCTTTAAGGAGACGGGATTCCACTATTATATATGAATATATGATCCCACCACTTGAAACTGATTAAACAACAGCCATTCTTCTTCCAAGAGAAAGAAGAGCAAGACCATCGCTTATTCTTCATCAATCTTCCTTTATGCCTCTGTCGTCTTTTGCTGGGTTAAGGCCTGCTGAGACAATAGATAGTCAGGCAGGTGGCCTAGCCCTAGCTAAGAGAGATTCTTTAACCACGAAAACATCAACCATTTAATCGGCTTTTCACTCCTCCACCACTTCTGACCTACTCCAGTCTCTCTAAGATTCCATGAAATAGCAGAAAGCAGAATCTTAATCCTAATCAGACTGACCAAGAGCAATCGCAGCTGAGTCAACTCTATCCATTCTTGTTTCAAGCTAAAAACTTGAGGAAGAAGAGCTTATTCAACTCGAGTTCGCCACAGAACCCATCTCTGGAACCGAAGCCAAGGCCCAAGTTCAACCTTCACCACGTGAACACTACAAGCTAGTCTCATCCTTATGCCCTATCCTTTCTATCTATATGTTGATTGATACCCTCAGGTTCCTTCTCTCCTTTTAAGGACGTTAGCAAGAAGCGCTTAACGCCGGTTTCTTTCCCTAAAAAAGAAGTGAATCTGGAAGTGACTCCGCTAAGGCTAAGACTTCTTCCTTTCTAGCCCTTGAAATCCGTCCACTAGAAAGGGATGCGTGAACAAGAACAGAATCTAGTGAAAGCAGAACCAGCGCTTAAGAAAGAGTAGGAGAAGTTGGCACGTCTTTAACTTGGCTACGAAACTATGCTATGATTCCGTTCTCGAAAAAAAAAAAGAAAAAAGTAGCCCTGCCTACAACAGCAGAAAGAGAACTGCGGGAAGAGCAGATAAGAGAAGAGCTTATCCCCCCCTCGGGTCAAAGAAGACCAAGAAAATCTCGATTCAACATAAGCTTGGGATGCTAATAAGGAGGACCTTGCCGGGTTCGTTCAATCAACAAGCCTTAACGCCCTTGAGACGGGATCAACTCCTTTTATAAATATGATACCACCAAAGTAAAGCAGCACTGACTTCTTCCTATTACTACGCTCCGTACCCTGGCTAGAGAGCATGAATGACTCTTCCCAGGAACGATCAGATGCAAACGCTGTTAAAAGCGCCTTTCCCATGTGGAAGAAGTTACTTGCGTGCCTTATCCTTCTCCTATTGCTACTCCTAACCTCCACAGAACACTTGCTACCGCTATCTTGGGATAAATGCTATTTCCTAATTCCAATGCCTTACTTCCTTCTCAAAAAGAAGGATTTGATGCTCTTAAACTTCCCTAAATTTATAACTGATTATAAAAAACTATTCTTCCCTTACTGTTGGAAGATTCTCGTCTTGCGCTTTCTTCTTCTATCAGAGAGGGATCTTAGCCTACCGGTGACCGCCTCTATGAGGACCTTTGGACGGAGTTTTATTGATCCACTATCTTACTTGAATGAAGAAAGAAAGATCTTTATATACACAATTTGATGTACGAAGGCTGTTAATCCCAACCACTCCTAGATGCAAAGATAAAGAATTGCATTTGATTACACGAGATGATTCAAATCGGAAGTAGTGCTTTCTACCGTACGATCCTAAAGTAGGAATAGAGCTTTATTCTATTAAGATATTCTATCTCGAGTTACCGTCGCATCAAGAGGAAAGAGCCAAGCAAGGGTTAGCTTTGCTCATGCCAAACAACTAAAGCAACTGCTCCACAAACCTCCTTTGTGAGAAAGTTTGAAAGTCCCACTTTTCCTATCCTTATCCTTAAGGATTTGACTTGACGGTCAAAATCTTGTACATAATCTCTCTCTCTTAAGAGGAATTTATATTTATTCCTTAACATCAGAACAGTCACTTTTTTCTATTTTATTTATTCCTAGCAAGCACCCTTCTCAGTTATTCTACCAGTTCAATTCACAAGGATAGTTTTCGAGTCTCCTATGGAGTAAGGGGGGGCCAGTTTCTCTTTTTCAAAGGCTCTTTTCATGCTAACCCCAATAAGTTATTAGTTTTTAACTATCTATCCTGGCATCTCAGTGCAGTCCTACAGCTCATGGCCTATCTTACCTTACCACAACAAAACAACAAGATTTTAGGTAGGCCTTCCTATTCCAAGCGCTTCCAGCTTAACTAATCATAAATCATAGATTGGTCTCCCTTTATCTTTCTTTTGTTAGAATGGAAAATCTTGAAAAGATTCAATTCAATCTTGCTCCCATTATTCAAAAGGAAGACCGGGAAGGCGAATCCAAACCAGGGCCCTGGAAAGAAAAACCGTCTATAGAGATCAATGTTGTCTCCATTTAACTTTCTTTTTTAAAGGGGAATAAAAGCAAATGCTGCTCTATTCTCCAAGGGCCCCACCCAGATCTGTCGGTAGTCTGGTATGTGTAAGTTATACCAGCCTTCAAACTAGATTGTTGGAGTTCCATTAAGATAAAGTCATCATTCATCTTCCATAGCTGGCATAGCATAGGCGTTCAGCCAAAGCATAAACCCTTTCGTTTAGTTGCTGAAAGTATAGAGAAAAGCTATTCTTCTTCTTGGCTATCTAATGGGAAGGTTCTACCTAAGACCTAAGATAAGAAAGGTGGCTCGAAGGTCTTGCTCCGAAAACATCGACATAGGAGCAGAAGTCCAGTCTACTGACTTGGCTGGCCCCTCAATCTATTTTATTAACCGGGTGTTCACTCAAACTCAAAAAGCCTTTCTGGCACTGGGCATTGTTCCTAATTCAATTCCCTTTCTGCCGGGTGTGAGATCGTATGAGCTCCTCTCTTATAGTAGAGTAGCCGCCCTCCGTGGGAAATACCAAAACTAGCTCCTACTCCCACTCTATCAATTGCAGCGGTTAGGCCTTTTCCTAATGTCCTTTTAAGGCACCAAGAGCGCGATCACTATTCCTTATTGCCGAAAGACAGATCTCAGTACTCGTCTTAGTGCCCGGTATTCGGAGATAGGGAACTTTCCTTCTCTATAAAAAAAGGGATTTCCCGGTCTTCACTCTTCTCTTATAGTAGAAATTATGAAACAGCTGAATATAGTAACGAATCCTGCTAACAGCAGAAAGAGAGCTACGCCTTTTATTCCTATTTCTATATAACACATAATTCGTGAAAGAAAGGAAAGACAGGGAATCCTACTCAATCTCGCTGAGAAGGACACAGACTACCAGCCTATGCCGACAAGAGCTCCTTTTCTTTATCATAAAATCTCTCTTTCTTCTTCAATTGAATTGCCCGCTACGCCCCTTCTGCGACTTTCTTTCCTTGCTAGGTGCAAAAGGCTTTTTGTCGGTCGCCGAGAGCTGGAGTTCATCCAATGCAGCCCTTCTCTTCTATACGATAGCACCAACGTCCGATTCTGTGCTTAAGGTTGCTCGTCCACCTGAAGTGGGAGTACCTATGTCAAAAGTCAAAGGAGAGGAATCAATTCTAAGCTAGGGGATCCCCTTCTATAATCGATCCCCTTTCTTCTCTCTTTCCCGAAAAGCTCCATGCTGGTCAGCTGGACAAATTCGGGCGGTCGAGAACTGGTTCAAAAGTAGAAGGTGGTTCAAAACGAGCTAACGCGAGTTTTCTCATTACGCTTTTTCCCGTTTTTGAACATCACTGAGATAGGCTTTTCCCCGAAACATTGACCAGGGAGGGAGAAGTTGATTCATTCAATGGAGCTTTATTTGTTTGATCTAGTAAGGGGGTGTTAGAAAGAAATAAGCCACCGCCCGACGAAACAGCGGTTTACAACATAGCGACCCGGGACATCGAGCGAAGAGCTCCAATGCGCGTATTCGGAGCTAGGCGGATGCCTTAGTCGCAGAAGCCGGATCAACATCATGACAACGGCATTCTGGAAACTGTTGGGCCAGACACAATTGGTCTAATGTCTGGGTGCGTATGGCGGTACACTGAGAGCACCTTTCAAGTCGTCAAAGACACCTTTTTAGACAGACTTTGTAGCTATCATCATGTCAGCAGCCCGTGCGAATGCGGGGAACCTTTAAACAAAACAACGTGTCCAGGAAAATATTTGAGGAAAGTGCTTTCGACCCGCTGGAAATAAATAAAACTAGTGAGAATGCTAAAATAAAAGCACTGGCCGTTTTCGTTGCTTCTATAATAATAAGTCTCGCGCTCGCGGAATCCGTTTCGCAGCACGGAGTCTACCTCAATCTTGGTTAGTTCAGTTTGAGTTCTTTCTATAGGAAATCAGCCTATCTACCCTCAACCTTTCTTTATGAAAGATGCTTCTGTTAGGTTCTTTATCTCTATGAGTTCCTATAGATTCAAACTCAAACTGAACTAATGAAAAATCAACTCCGGAAGCACTACAAGTTAGAGAAAAGGCAAGAATGACTATACCAATTTATTTAAGAGGGCCGCACCCTGAGCTTGTATGAAGGAAGCCCGGACGGCAAGGAATCCCGTACTGCGGAGGGCTCTGCAATTTGACGAGAAATTACAGGATCACGGGCATTACCATCAGTAGCAGTGTTTAGAGATCCATCAACCAACTGACTACCCGAAAGAGTATCTATGGCTCGGGTAATAACACCTATTGCTTTATTAAGCAAATCCGAAAGCGAAACTTCATTAGGGTAGATAAGCGAACCCAAAAAAACATAACAGCCAACACATAGGCAGGATAAGAGTATTGCCAGAATCTC